TCACAACCTTCCTGACAACCTTCTTATCCCTGAGTCAATGTTGCTAGTTTTCAAGGCCCTCACAATCTTTGGTCTAATTCTCAAATAAAGGAAAAAAAGCATTTTAATTTTCCTTTAACTCGAAGATCTGAAAATGAGAAGCAAGTTTCCCCCAAGAAATAAATGTCTATAAACTAAGTATTTCAAAAATCTAGTTATGCAAGATTTAAGAATAATTTTTTAACAATTACACTAGCTGCCTATATCTTATAGGAAATAAGTACTACTTTAACATGCCTGTCACATTATTCCTAGGACTTCAATCTGCTGCCATAAACAGATGTGTGTGTCTATATTGCCTATTACAATTTTAAAGTTACACAGGCCAGGACTTCATAAGCTTGAAGTTTACATAGATCGCAAGGGAATCTTGTTAAAATGCTGATTCTGATTCAGTAGATCTGGGTTTGGATCTAACAAGGGGCATTTCTTACCTGCTGCTGCCGTTGGTCCATGGATCTCATAGGCACAGAATGTTTGATAATTATTTCAGCAGAATTTTTAAAACTCTCCAAAAATCAAAATAGTGGCTACCAATGTTTCCCTCTTGCTACTAGGATGTCTTGTTTTGCTTAGAATATATTAAATTCAGATTGTTGTCTCTATGTGTTTATCAGGCTCTTGCTTAGATTAATAGTTGATTAGCACAGGAATCTGGGAACTCTGTCAGATAAAGAAAATCTTTGTTTACTTGATCTCCAGAAAACAGGCCAAGGGCCAGCAGCTGTAGAGCTGATTTAGGTCTCCTGGCAATTTCAGAGTTTTGCCACTTTGGCTGCTGGGTAAGATAGTAAAACACCAGATAAAATAAACCTACCAGACAGCTTTTGTTTGTGTCCATTCCTCAGCTTCCCGCTAGCGGACACATCAGCTGGTACCCATATTGTGCTTATGAGCTCACATAGGTGGACATTAAAGTCTTTTGTGGACGAAATCCTGTTGGGCATCTTTTCATCTTTTTTTTTAAGTCTATTTATTTATGCATACAAGAGCTGGGGTGTAGGCCAGAGGGGTGGGGAGAGGGGTGGGGGAGATGATTCACCAGAGACAGAGTTGGGGAGCAGAACAGGCTGACTCACTGAAATACACTGCAGAGGGGAGCAGCAGGTGAGACAGGAGAGAGGTCTGCTGTGCCATATGTGGGTCAGCTTCCTGGCCGGGATCAAACTCGTGCTGCAGTGGCTGGTGATAGCTTCGTAGTGCTGAGACTTAACCCCTGGCACCACCAGGGAGGTCCCTGGTGGGCAGCTTTTTAGCTCCTCTTTATTATTGTCTATGTGTTGTATCAAGGGATTCCTCTTCCCTGTTGAGAGTTTCTGATGGGCTCTCTTGCTTCCTCAAACAGAATCTGAAGTTCTTGGAGGCCCATTGCCTGATCTGTGTGTTAAATGCTCATATGAGTAATCCCTGTTGTCTTCTTCAGCAACAGCGGGAATGGCCTGGTGTCAAGGCCTTTACTATCACTGAAAGGAACTGCAACCTTATTACGGGGTAACTCTGGAAGAAATGGGGGTGATCTGTGTGGGTACCTACATTCCCAGGCTTATGAACTTGGGACAAGGCTCTGAAAGCAGACATGCAAAAAAAAAAAAAAAATTAAAAGAAGATTTTGACACAAGAGGGTTAGAAGAGGGAGAATAGAGAGAAATATAGAGCTGCGAAGGTAACTGGCCAAAATGTGGCTAGGATCTGTCTATTGGCCCAGCAGCACCAGGGTGCAAGCTGGAAGTGTACGGGGATGAGGGCCAGGCCCAGCTGCCTTCAGTGTTTGAAAGGTCCACCTGAGCACTCAACTCCGCCCCCAGTTCCCGAGTTGGAGGAGTATCCCCGAGGAGATGGGTGGGATCCAGTGAAGAGCATTGAAGGAGGGCCTTCAACTAAAAACCAGGGGCAGGGGTGATGATGTTACTGGGGAGTTTCCACAAAGAAACTCCCTTTTTGCAAATGGCCCGTTTCTTTAGTGATTATTTCCCTTTTAAAATTCTGGAAAAGGGGCCTCCCCGGTGGCGCAGTGGTTGTGCGCTGGGTTGCGAAGCTGCCCGCAACCTCTGCAGCATAAGTTCGATCCCCGGCCACTGGGTGAGGGTCCCACATGGTGCGCAGACCTCTCTTGCCGCCTGCTGCTCCCCTCAGCAGTGTACTTCGTCAGTCTGCCTGTTCTGTTCTCCACTCTGGCTCTGGTGAATTCTCTCACCCTCCCGTGTTTGTGACTGTACCCAATGCTTGTATAAGTAAATAAATAATTCTTTAAAAACAAATAAATAAATAAATAAAATTCTGGAAAAGACAAGTTGTCAAAACACCATAGCCTTTCTTCTTTTGTATTTTGAAACACTCTTTTGAATTCATTGCCTCTCTTGAGTTAACTAAACTATCTTGTCCTTGTATTATGGCTTCTGCCATTCACCACATAAAGTCAGAAGAGACTCAGTGTGTAAGACCTTCGATAGAAAAGAACTTTAATACAATTAGTGTGCAATAGAGAAGAGAAAGAATATACTTAAAATAGTTTCCCCATAAGACAGCCAAAGTTACCCATCCCCTTGTGGGTAAATGTCCAGCCAAACAGGGTTGGTCAAAAGGAGGGCCACTGAGGCCCCAAAATTTTCCATGTCTAAGGCACCTTCTGGTGGTGAACTTCAGGAAAGGTATAGAAAGGGCCAGGAAGTTTAGAAAGAGCAAAATGAAAATACAGGTTAAAGCTGCCACTGTCAGCATTTGCACAGATCTCTCAGCCACATCTCCTTCAAGTGTCTCCTTCCATGTCCCTCTCACCCCAATCACCGAGAAACAAGTGTGGTTTCTTCAACACCTCTCTGTTTCACGTGCCTCCTCCAACTCTTTTTGGTTCAGGGAAATGGGAGGGCCAAGAAGTCTGTCCCCCTCTACTCACTGCCCCTGAAGAGGGCATCATCCTTTCTACTGGACCATGACTCAGAAACTCAGGTCTTGACCAACAGAGCCCAGCTAGAGGGGAAGGAGAACCTGCACAATATCAGGGCACTTTCCTTGGTGCAATCATTTATTTGTTCACTTATTTATTTGCTTATTTACTTTTAACAGTTGGGAGTGTTGCCTAGCAATTCCGCTGCTGGCCTCATTTAGGGTCACTCACACCTGCAGAGAGCAGGCGGCTCAGCTGATGCTGGGTGGCCAAGATGGCGTCCCTCACAGCTGGGGCTGAGCTGGGATGGCTGAAAGGGCCAGGATGGCCATGTTCCTCTCTCCCTGTGCCTTTCATCTCAGGTTACTTCCCAACACGGTGGTTGAGAGAGACCCACTGCTGGGGTAACCTTTGAACTGAGATGGCTAGAGGATTAGAAGTATAGGAAGTAGCAAAAAAGGGAGATGCTGGCAAGAGGAAAATAAATAATTGATAACTGATCAGTTGATAAGAGGGAGTAACATGGGGCAAGACCCTGTGAGGCAAGAGGAAGTGTGATACTTTCTAGGAAAAAATGAGTCTGGCTGACTACTGCACAGGATATAAGAAAAGAGATAGAGTGGATATCAGACTATGCAGGTTCAGGAGCTAAGGAACTTTTTTGTTATCTTCATACCAGGAATAATGAGACCCCATTGAAAGGTTTCAACAAATGGAGTGACATGATCTGGCCTTCTCTTTAAAGACGGAACATGGGGAGATTCACGAGGTCTTGGAGGGGGACTGAAGTAGGACTTCTTAACCTCTGTGCCAGTGACATTCTGGATTATTCTTTGTGGGGCAGCTGTCTTATATATTGCAGAATGTTCAGCATTACCCCTGATCTCTAATTCACTAGATGCCAGTTGCCAGCCCCCTCACCTTGGTTGTGACAAACACAAAGGTGTTCATTCATTTCCAAATGTCCCCTTGTTACAGGGCAGGGAGAGGAGCACCCCAGAGCCCCCAAACATGCCTGCTCTAAATAGGTTCTGCCATCCACTGCATCAACACAAAACATATAAGACCTTTAATGGAAAGGAACTTTAATACAATTAGGGAACAATACAGAAAAGACAAAGAATATAAATCAAGCACCCACAGTTGCTCATTCCCTCATGAGTAAAAGTCCATCCAAGCGGGCCTCCCTGGTGGCTCAAGGGGGTTTAGCACCATACTATGAAGCAATCTGCAGCCTCTGCAGCACGAGTTCAATCCCCAGCCAGGGAGCAATCCACATGGTACAGCAGATCTCTCCTTACTCGCCTGCTGCTCCCCTCAGTAGTGGATTTAAGTGGATCCACCTGTTCTGCTCCCCACTCTGTCTCTGGTGAATCCTCTCACCCCCCCACATCTCTGGCCTGTACCCCAGCTCTCGTATGCATAAATAAATCTTAAAAAAAAAGTCCACCCAAACAGGATTGGTCTAGAGCAAGGCCCGAAAGCTGCCACTAGTCTAAAGCACCTTTCAGTAGGGACCCAGAGAAAAGGGTCAGAAAGAGCCAGACAAGTCTGGGAGAAAAAGAGCAAATCAAGATAAAAGCTGCTATAGTTATCCTCTCCATGGGTCTCTCACTCACGTCTGTTTCAACCAGTCCAAGACCAAAAGGCAAGCACAGTTTCTTCACATGTCTCTCTGCTCCATAGGCCTCCTCCAGGTCTCCTTCTTGCTCTCCATCCTGCTCCTTCCCTCTCCCAGTCTCCTCTCCAGCTTGTTCTCTTCCCTGCTCAGCTCCACCCTGCTTTGGGTGGGGCAGGGAACCTGGAACGTCCCCCTTTCCTGGGCACCACCCTGTTATACCCAGGGGGCCAAATCACCCCCTTTGCAAATCATTGGGCTAAGAGAATGCAGAGCCTCACTGGTCACGATTCCATCCTTGAGGAGAGGATGGACATGAGTGGCTGAGGTGAAACTGGCAAGGGATTTAAGAGACCAGGAAACAAATTCAGTATTGGGGCCAGCAGACCTGTTACAGCAGTCTGGCCCTCAGGTCCTCTCTGTCCTTCAACATTCCACCAGCTCTGAAAACATCATCTAGTCCTGTTTGCATTGGGCACATGGAGGAAGATAACGCATGGAATATAGAGTTTATTTTCATTCCTTTGCAGAGCTCACCTGGATCAAGTCTGACCAAGGAATGGATGGAAGGTCAGCGATGTGGTATGTGTTTGGGCTTGATTTTGACAAGGGTGGTCTAGAGAAGTGCCTGGATGGAGTTGGATGGTGGGTGGAGTTGTATAAGCCCCGGCCACAGACCTTACCCGTGAGGGCCACAATTGTCCGGTGTCCTGGCCACCTGCCCTCCTGTCTGCAGAGGTCAGCTTGTCATCTTTTATTACAGTACAGCCCTTTTCCTCCTTGTGGGCTTACACAAAGAAAAATAATCCCCCCCTTGCCTGCCTGTAAGGAAGTATTGTGAGGAATGGTGAGGTCCCAGCCCTAAAACACTTGGAATTCATTTGATAAAAGATCCTGCCCTTATTTTTCTACCTATAGTTTTCTGTAAGAAAGGAAAGGTTGTGTTTTCTGCTCCTATGAAGGAAAAATAGAAACTAAGACTCCTTTCACATCACAGTTTTGTTCTGATTCAAGGGCACCTCCTGAGCCGCCAGCCAAGCCCCATGAAAAGGCTTTGTTAGATTATTTAAGCGATCAGAGTTCATAAAGGTCATCATTTCTTTCCTGCTGAGTCTGCGGACAGTATCTTTTCTCAGCTTCTGAGAGACTGGGGAAACCGAAGGAAATTTTCATCTTGTTTCAACCCTCACTCCTTTTCCCCTGACTTAATGAATATAGTCACCAGAAGGTTATGTTATGGTCTATTAAAAGTGTAATTATTAAATTCATGGCAAAGTATCATATCAAAATTTAGAGAACAAGAATCATAACTGAAAGTTAGTTCTTTTCTTCAGGATCACAAGGCTGCGGCCCTACCACCCACCTCCTGATCTTTCTCCTGAACAAAGGTGGCCACAAATTACCACCACAAGCAACTGAGCCACAGCTTGAACACAGCCCCACCCATTCTCACTGAAATGTGAATGCAGACTCTTTCTTTTAAATAGTAAAATCCAATTGATAAATGTAGAAGAGGTGGCAGAAATTTAAAAATCACCATGTGGCAAACATCACAGTAAAATAATTAGCAAGAATAAATGCTAAGACCTCCCTGGTGGTGCAAGGGGTTAGGACGCAACCTATGAAGCTGTCCACAGCCACTGTAGCATGACTTCTATCCACAACTGGCCAGGGAGCTACCCACATGGCATGGCAGACCTCTCCTGTCTTGCCTGCTGCTCCCCTCAGCAGTGTATTTCAGTCAATCGGCCTGTTCTGCTTCCCACTCTGTCTCTGGTGAATCCTCTCACCACCCCCCCACACCTCTGGCCTGTACCCCAGTTCTTGTATGCATAAATAAATAAATCTTTTTTTAAAAAAAGAATAAATGCTAAAGTTAGTAGGCAGAAATAAGAAGAGAAAGGTATTTGGAAGTTCTCAACAAATTGGTCAATTAAGTTTTAACAATACGGTGGGTGTATTAGAATAATCCAGATAACTGAGGACAGTAGGTACAATAAAATTATTGTGCAACTAGCAAATGGACAAACTTGTTAGTGTTCCTGTATAGGAAAATGGACCCCTCTACCCCTCTGAAGTTCTAGGGGAGTTTCCCAAGGAGATATAATATTTTCCAAAAGAACTTCAGCTACAGAAGAGTTAGTAGCCTGTTTACAAGGGAAATTCACCGTGCAGTGACAAGAACCCCAGACCGCGAGCAAAGCATGTTAATGTCCATGGATGGGGGTGCTCCCTGAAACCAAATTGCCAGATATTGAACGACTACAAGACAATTTTAAGTGTCATGAACTCTGAGAACAGGCGCCCCTGTGTTTTTTGCATAAACGGGATGAGTAAGGTAGGCACTTTCTGCTGCCTCACTAATATTTCCCCACCAATCTTGATCTATGAATGTATTATTTTATTAATCATTAAAGACACGTACAGTGGTTAGGAGTGGAAATTTGAGAGTCTCCGGTAGGGTTGAGTTCTAATATGGTCCAAACCAGGACTTTCTTTTATTACCACATCAACATTATCGAATTTCCAATCAGTTTTTCTTCTTCTGGGGCCATTTTGGGCCCTGCTGACCAGTTCTCCTAGGTTATCAACTGAAGAAATGTGTACCAGAACCATGACAGACGTTTGGCTGCTTTTGGTTTCTTAAGAAACGCATTCTTCACAGACATTTCAGCAAGTTGAATTCCTTTAGTTTCCAGAGTCAATTTTAGAATGCCTGGGAACCTTAATCATAGCTAAGGCAGCCAGTGAAATGATAGCATCCAACAATTCCTGAATATAAAAGTGATTGTTAATTTTGAATCCATGGGATATAAGGAAACCATGTTGCTTCCACAACATTTCATAATCATTAGCTAGTCCAAAAGTAAATCCACCATCAATGCAAATGTTAATGATTTTGTCCCTGGCTGGGGTACAAGCCCACATGAGCACATGTAAGTTGACTTGTTGGGCTACAGTGTCCAAAGGCAAAGGAGCCACTTCAATGACATGAAAGGGGGTGGACATTGCCCTCCCAGCTGAACATTCACCATCACCTTCCGATTCTGAACCATCAGTCAACTATGACATGTGGAAGCTACTCAGTTTCTTGAGGTTCATCATGGGGCTGAAAAGATGCTCCATCTGTCAGAGGATCATGAGGAACTAGGAGAGTAGCTGTGTGAGGTTTTTAGAAGCACTTCTGGTGCTTAAGGGACAAAGTGGTTCAAAAGGAATCCCACAATTTCCTCCGTCAACTTAACCACAATAGCAGCGGCAACCACAACAGACTAATATTCTAGGGCACATACAGTAGGGCTAAACCTTCACTGACCAAATTAATAGAGACAGTTGTCTTTATGCCTTGGATCTTGTTGTTAACTAGAATACCTGTGGGTCAGTGGAGGTCCCCATATCTTGGGGTGAGTACCGCAAGAGTATTTTCTCCCTTTTCACATATGAAAATGGAAATAACGCTCCTGATATTTGAGCTGTCCAAAAGGAGCATGGCTTATTACATTCCCCATTAAAGCTGCAGAGGTCTCTTTTAGGGTATTAATTAATTCTGGGAAGAGGTTTAAAGGGACATATTTGAATCTCGATGGAAGATGTACTACGAATTTTGCCAACATCACATAAGGAAAAGGGAATTTGATTCAGCAGGTCAATATATCAGACATAAGGGCAAAAAAAGGAAGTTAAAGTTTCATTTAAATCACCTGCTTGACTATCTTGAGCTTTACTGTCAATTAATAATTTCGCCCTTTAGGAAAAAGTGATCCAGAATGATGTCTTTCTAAGAACTCTTGAGTTATCAGTTAACACGGGTCTAGGAACTAACAAGAAAAAGATGGGTTTCTCTCCAGGGATGTAAACAATTGGGAATAGGTAGGTTCAGAAACAGAAATTTTTTTCTTTAAAGAAATCCCCTCTATTGAACTGCCTTAATACTTCAAGGTAGATGCTGTTTATAGCCATGGCTTCTAAGCACCGATATATTACCCTAATTGCAATAAGAACAGAGAGATTTACTCCCAATCTGGAAAGTTGTCTCCCCAAGCCAATTAAGAGGAAAGATTTGGGCTGGGCCTCCCTGGTGGCGCAAGGGGTTAAGTCACAACCTATGAAGCTATCCGCAGCCACTGCAGCACAAGGGAGCTACCCACATGGTGCAGCAGACCTCTCCTGCCTCGCCGGCTGCTCCCTTCAGCAGTATATTTCAGTAGATCTGCCTGTTCTGTTCCCCACTCTGTCTCTGGTGAATCTTCTCACCCCCCACACCTCTGGCCTGTACCCCAGTTCTTGCATGCATAAATAAATAAATCTTTAAAAACAAAAAAAGAGGAAAGAGTGGGAAAAACCCAATAGAGTCTGCATGTCCCAGAATGGAAATTAACAGGATATTGGAAAACCTGGTCGGGAAACTGCACATATTTAGATTCTTTAAGTTGTGGCAAGCTGTATTCCAACGTCCTGGCTTCGTACAGTAATGGCCAAAGCTAAGAGGCTTTTGGGTCTATATAAAATCCTTCCTTTGGCATGGCTGAAGATAAAGGACCTTTGTCATTTTCTTTTGGTTGGCTAATTGAAAATATGGGAGCTCTATTTTGGAAACTAAATCTGAAGTAGACATGGCTTCCCATTGTACCCCAGTTCTTCTAACTAAAAGGGAAAGCTCTTGGCTCAGTCATTAACAAACAGAATTAAAGGCCACCTTGTAGATTCAGCATCAAAGGGTAAGCCAGAATTTTATTTGAAAACAATTTGAAGCAATTATAATAATCCTGAACAGACCCATCAAGCTTTATGTACAAGCCTGGCTTTTTTTCCTACTCAATAAGCTTAGGAAAAACCATGGGAAAGTCTTGCTGAAGTTCTCTGCAAGTTTCCCAGCCTCTTGCCAAAAGCTAGGTTTATCTAAATCTTTTTCAGGATTTTCCAATCTGGTAAGTTTCATACAATGTTTGACTGGATCCTTACCAACAAGCATGGGAATTAATTAAAATAGGTCAGAAAAACCAGGCTTGTGAGTCTGTGGGCTGATGTTATATTCTTCAGCAAACCTATGAGTGTCCTCAGTTGCTCCTTAACTATGGCCTGCAGTTGGGCCTTAGTTCAGGGAAGAAATCTGAAGTTTATCTGGATCCTTATTAGGTTTAACTTGAAAAGGGCAGGCTGCCATGAGTTCAGAGGATGAAGGCTCAGAAAGATCCTTGGCCTAAAGGGTTAGATTAGCAGAAGAAATAGATTCGTAGTCTGAGGCCCTGAAAGGGAGGTAGGCAGGTCAGAAAGGGAAGACAATGAAGGCATGGGCAGTGGAGCCTCAGCTCATCCAGAGACAAGAAGGAGGTGCAGACACAAGGAGGGGTGCAGAGACAAGGAGGGGTGCAGAGACAAGGAGGGACAGAGGGAGAGAAGAAGGTGGTAACAGATATGAGTAGGAGCACACAATTGCTGTCTTCATTCAGCCACAAAGAAGGTGGGGAAGAGAGAGAGAGTTGGAAGCCATTTTCCTTTTCTTTTTCTTTAATCATTTGGTTGGTCTCATTTATTTAAAATTTTTTAGGTGTAGGGCCTCCCTGGGGGCACAGGGATTAAAT